ATATAAAAATATCATTAGAGAACTAGTATTTTCTACCAACAATATTCCCCAACTTGAAATCAGTCATAGATTATTAGACTAAAAATAAACTAATAAATTGGAAGCACTTTTGAGGTAGTCATACTACATAGGTCATATTCAAGAAGGAATCCCTCGAGTTATACACATCGCATTGCTATGATCTTGGTCTCATTTTAAACCTTAGAGAAAGGGCTATAGCTCTTATGTTTAGGTCTCAACCCAATTCGATCGGTAAGATGCCCAAAAATCACTTAGAAGGTCACGGATTTGACAGGGCAACCTTGGTAACATGCTACTTTAAGGCTTTTCCATACCTATTTACCTCCACTTACTCACTAACCTTTCCTAACCATTCTCCCCTATGAAAACATGTTAAAAGATCAATAATAGACAATCAAACTTCAATTCTTTCCTTTCTCTAACCCTTTCTTCATTAGGGTTTAGCCAACTCTTGCATGCAATTTCTCTTTGGATTTTCATCAAACACTTCATGTGAACATGCAACTACCATGCTGGCTACACTTCCACAACTCTCTAATTCCACCAAATTGTGAGCCAAAAACTCAATAATTATAGCATCAAACCTGTCCCTTTTCAACATTTCTCTACACTTCAAAATTCCATCACTAATTCTTCCATAACTTCACCAAATCATCACATAATCATACACTACTTCTCATGGCTGGAAATTACACATCATTAAACATAAAAAACAGTCAACAATTCTCTCATATCATCACATACAAACATGCAATAATTCATTCAACACAAGTCTTGCTCAAATTAAGGTTCAAACTAGGTTTACTTACCTTGAATATGTGAGATCACTTCCCTTTTGCTCTAAATCTCTTCCTCTTGGACCTAGATCATATAAAAACCATAAGAATTTAAAACTTTAAAGTTTATCACACTCCTTTTGCTAGAATCTTATCTTAGGATGCTTTAGGGTTGAAAATCTATGAAAATCCAAGCCAAATCCTATGATTTCCCTTTGAAATTTAGTGAAGAAAATTGAGAGAAAATGGGGAGAATATGTCGTGAACAAGGGCTGCATTTTGGGGTTTCTTCAAATGAAACCTTATATCAAATAATATAAGCATGTATTCCCATTTTTCCCTTGCACTTTCTATGAAATTCCATCTATGTTCCTTAGTCAATTACAATAATGTTCTCATTTCCATTGCATTCTCCATGTAATTCTACTTCTTTTCACTCCCCACACTTTCAACTAATTAAGAGTGAAATGACCATTTTACCCCTAGTGAAGTTTTAAGGAATTTTCTTCACACTTGTTCAAGATAACTCTAGTAAAATTCAACTAAAGGTATTAGGGCATAAATCAAGTTACGTACCTTGATGTGGGCGTAAAAAATTACAACAATACCCTCATTTCCATTGCATTCTCTGTAAAATTCTACTACTTTTCACTGCCCACATTTACAACTAATTATGGGTGGAATGACCATTTTACCCTTAAGGAAGTTTTCTAGAATTTTCTCAAAAATATCAATAAGGTCTTTGCCCCAGCGAAGCTTTTCCTTCGCCTCGGAGAGACATTCCAGAGCATACATTGCCGTGATGAAGACTGCAATTCTGAAAACTTGATTTGGGCAGAGAGTTTATTGCCGCAGCGACAAAATACCTTTGACGTGGTGAAGTCTGCACTTCCCAATTTTCCAATCTTCCACCTTAAAACAAGCAAAACTAAAGGTATAAAAACATAAATAAGTTATGTACCTCAACGTGGGCATTACAACCCCCCCTTCATTAGCCGATGCACAACGACTTTCACTCTATCAACACTGACCCGACGGTAGCCCTTTCCCCTTTTGAGTAGCTTCACTCACCTATCAGTCATTCGATGCACATTGCACCTTAATATAGCCTATAGGTAGCCATTTTCGTAGCCTAACTCTCAACGAAAAGCACCAATGTTAGAACTTAAGCCCAAAGGAGAGCCCAACCCAAAAGACTGACCTAATAGGCGGAAAAGCCTCTAGGTACCACACTTAGTGGTGTGAGATCTCAATGTGGGATCCTAACACTCTACAATCCAGCATTCTTTTCTTCTAAAAAAAAAATCAGAAAAAAAAATCAGTAACTATTAGTTGTATCATGCAAAATAATATTACATACATAAATTTATGAAGAGAAAGTGAAAGGAAATGGGTAGAGAGATGGGCTCTGTCATTAAGTTTGGATAATTTTGTTAGCATCATTATCATAGAAAACATGTCATTTTTACAATGGAAAGCAATTTACTAGTATCCCCCACTTTTTAAATATATGTTTTGTTTTGACAAGTTTAGCCTTAATTAAAAGTACTACAAATGACATTATAATTTCTAGATATACTTCATGCTATTTTGTATTTTTGTTATAATTTTTAACATTTAGGGTGCATTTGGATCGGGCTAATATAAGATAATGGGGGTAATCTTTGTTTATTTTGCAAGATTTCGTTGTTTGGATTTTGCAAGATTTCGTTGTTTGGTTTGCAAGTAATGAAATATTATGGGTATCTTTTATTGCAAACAGTTTTTACTGTTGGTAATGTAAGGGATAATCAGATACCCTCCCCAAGGGCTGTTATTAAAATATTACTGGGTAATATGATTTTTATACCTATTTTACCCTTAATTAAATACCATTTAGGACATAATTGCCCCCAAATGTCTACCAAATAACAATTACCCAACCCCCCTACATTTGAGAAATTAGCTAAAACACTCCAGCCACAAAAAAGTTTAAAAGTTAACAAAATACCCCTACCCACCTAAGACCACTACTGGTCACGGGCCACCATCGCTAGCCGTCGACGACAATTGCATAATGGCCCGCAACTGGTGGGATCTGGACGGTTGTGTGCCGCTAAAGCTATTTCATGGCCAAAGATCATGGCCACATATTTGGCCATGAAACGGTCGTCGTTTCACGGCCAAAGATTTGGCCTTTGTTAGCGCTCGGCCGGCCATATACGGTCGGTCATGTGCCATTCGTCGACTACCATCGACGGCCAACGGTGGTGGCTAGCTCCGAAAGTGACTTGGGGTGGGTGCGGGTATAATGCTACAAATTAAAGTTTTATATGGCTAAGGTGTTTAAGCAAAATTTCAAATGTAAGGGGTTAAAATAAATTATTCAAAAAATAATATTATATTAATATTTAAAAAGGATGGCAATTTAGTAATCTATATAACATACTCACCCATTTATCATCCCAACCAAACATATTACTCATTAATTTATTTGAACTAATCAAACACATTTCCTAAACATTTTTTTAGTAATCTTCAAAATGATCTATCTTTCCTTTAATATAACATCCCCCTATAATAAAACATTAAATGATCCAAACGCCCCCTTAATATTACATAAACCTTAACCCTAAATTTTCATAATCATTGAAACCTTTTGTTTAATTTCAAATATTAGTTTGTTTGATAAAACTATAATATTAAAACTATAGAAAAAGTAATCGCACAAAATGAATCTAAATCTGGAGAAGAAAAAGTAAGTTTCAAATTTGAAATTAGGAAATTAGGATGTAAACAAAAAAACCTAATTAAGTTTAAGATTGTGGGGGAAATGGAATAAAATAAAAAACCTAATTGGGTTTGAAATTACGAAAAATAGACCTAATTAAGTTTAGAGAGATATTTTCAGTATTAAATATGGTTTAAAGAGTTTTCTTTTAATTACAAAAGAGGTGTATTTACAAATGGGGTATAATGATCAATTAGATGGGGATTAAAAAATCACTTCCTTTTTCCTATTAGAACACGATTTAGTGATCTCAAGATGTCGAGAATATTTCAATGTGTGTATGTGTGTGTGTATATATATATAGTCTTTTTATAAATAAAATATGTCAAAAATAATCAACTTTTTTGTTATTGGTTAGAATACAGGTTAAAAAAACTTTATAATATATTTAATACAATACAATGGTGTTGGAATTGTTAGGTGGTAAAGAAATTAATTAACTCCAAATACTTTTCACATCTATTGGATTGTAAATTATCCTATTCCTTTGTTGAAATTGACAAAAATATAACTTTAGTATAATATAATATGATAAAATATAAATATACATGTTATGACTATTATGTCCTATGTTTTTTGTCTAACTATATGTCAGATTGTATGATTCAATTATAAACATAACATTACTCTTAATAATAAAATAATGATTACTCTATGCTATGTTTTTGTCTGGTTATATATTTGATTGTATGACTCGATTGTAAAAATAACATTATTCTTAATAATAGCATGTATACCATGTAGAAATAATATCATAACACTTTATACTCAAATTTTTAACAAAATCACATAATAAAAAAGGATACTTGAGAAATGTTTGGTAAAGTTAGAAGAGTTTTAGATAGCAGAAGATCTTTTCAAAAAAATTAACCAAAATTCTTTCATCATAGCTGTTACACATCTAAAAAAACATAGTTTTAGACTAAGGAAACAGGTGAGGTAGCTCACTATACCTCATACTAAACAAAATAAATAAATAAATAACAAATCACGATCATTGCGGAACGAAATTGGGTTCTGGAGTTGTTGAATCTGGGGTGGTTCAAAATCAGCCTGGATTCTGTCTCTCCGAGGAATCAATACATACATTCAAAACATTTCTAGATTGCTCAAGTCCCAAGCAATAACTTGATAATTGCATAAATCACCATTAGTCTCTAATTAACATAAAATAGTTTCAAAGCCCACTAGTTAAAAGTCACCCAAAACTGAGTGTACATTTTATTCCATCAACTAATCTGATTTTCACCATCGCAACAATTTTCCATTGAAATTCCAAAAGAGTTATGATTAGAACTCCAAATGCTGTTTCAGAATGTTAAATAATACGACATTTGGCCTCAACGGGAAGCAAAAGCATTGTTATGAAACTATTAGTTTCAATCACTAGTAGTCAAAACTGTTGATCAGAGAACTAAAAGAAATTAACAATTAATAGACTTGCCACATGTGAGCTCTATTGAATTCGAACTATCTTGCGGTTAATGCATCTAAACCTGCAAATCTCGTCAAAGAAATCATCTGAACTGCTGTGGCTGCTCTTCATTTGAAGAATTCTTATTACCATTGCCTTTAAATTTTTACCATACTTCAACAGGGACTCAAGAGTGCTCATTTTCTGTTCAGCATTTAATGGTGATCTCACTGTGACTACTACTTCCTCCAAACATTGAATCACAAACCCTGATTCAACCTGCAAAAATGAGTAAGTGTGAGCTCAATTAGTTATGCTATCTTTGAGGTTAATTTAGACAGAAAACTGACAACATTAGAAGATGGTCAACATACATTTTTCAGGCTGTTTCTCTGGCAAAGAGCGGCAAACATAGCCCCATGGATATCAAACTTCTGCAGCTTCGGATGAGTATTGAAGAAATCAACAAAATCAACCTCTGGAAAGGGCTGAAGGGTATCGAAGTCTCCAGTGAATTCAACCTTCATGTAGAGATGCTTCACCTCACTAGCCCATTGAAGCATTTTGCTTATTGCATCCCAACACCACTGGACCCCTCTCATGGTCAAGGACTCAAGGGCATCCAGTTTCCCAAAATCTACCATGTAGACTCTCCCTGAACATTTACAGAACATATTATCAGTCACATTTATAGTTTATAGAATCAGGAACTTTTGTATCCACCAAATATTTAAAAAGTAAAAAAAAAAAAAATATATATATATATATATATATATATGTATGGGCATAAATAAATAACATAATCGAACTTCCTAGTAAATAACTCCTAAGCAAGAAATTACCAGCATTATTGGAAATTGAAAGATTCCTCAAGCATTCTGTCTCTTGAACCCTAATCCAACTACAGCCTTGTATCTCAAGGAATTCAATTTTTGGACAAGAGAGAGAAAGCGAGCTGTTACCCGAGCCATAAAAATCCAGCTTACACCGTTCCAAAAGCGGTAACTCAATTGAAACTGACGTAACCCCTTCGCAGCCAAGCAGCAACAAGTTAGTCAAATTAGGACAAGCCCCAAGGGCAGTGGACAATGCTGGATCCTTCAGTCTCGCACCAACAATTTCAAGGTTCTGAAGTTTATGGAAAACATCCCAACTGGGTGAATTAATCATTAGAACACCCCAAAGCTTTAGGGACTCCAAATTCTTTGCACTACTAATGCAATCCAATTTGGAAGGCCTCTCAAGACAGTGCTGATATTCGGAAAGATTATCCATTCGAAGCTCCAGATGCTTAAGTGTTGAACCTGCAAGCGATAGCCATGAGGCGAGGCCAGCACTAGAAAATGGGCTATACACAACGAGCTCCTCCAAGCAAACAATGGATGAAATCATCTTCCATACAATAGTATCAGGACTGTCACTACTAGTGTGGTTGTCGAAAGAGTTTCGAGGGAAATACAGGCTTCTAAGGTAAGGAATCGAGTCCTTCCATCGCTTGGATACACAATTACATGTTGCTACATCTCGAGCATTATTCATATGTGATAAAATGTAATGAACAATGGCATCAGGGAGTGAGTCCATTTTCTGAGGAAAACAATCAAACAGGTAATAGTCAATAACCAAAGTGCTAAAAACATCCATATAATTCAGGTAAAATTAGTCTTTAAATTTCAAACTTTTTATCATGGGAAACCTAAAGATAGAAAATTTAATTCACAAAGGATTCATAAACCAATAATTCTCATAATAAACCAAAAAAAAAAAAAAAAAAAAATTACATCTGATAGTCAATGTGGCTAACAATATTCATAAAGATGTCCATAATTTTATCTCATAATAATTCAACACAAAGCTAAGAAATGGGGAAATCATACTTTTTTTTCCTAATAAATGAGAAACCAGATGCAATACAAACATTTGAAGCAAAACCTAGATGAAATTTAATCCTAAAACAGACATAAACAGACGAGATTGGAAAAAAGAGAAAGATTGGAAAAAAGAGAAAGATTCTCAGCACATTTAACCCTAAATCAACAAATCATTCATAAAACTCAAATCGAAGACAAGATCAAGAGCCTTACAGTTACAGATTCAAATCTGTTAAAAAGAGAGACGACACAGATCTGAAAAAGCAAAAACCCAACTGGTGTTTCGAAAGAAGACTGAATATATATAAGTTTTAAGGAGTGAAAAAAGAAAGAAGAGGGAGCGGAATATGAAGGGAGGGCGTTAAGGGTTTTTTCAAATTTTGAAAAAGTTAAGTTAACGGGCACCAATTGAAATGAAATGAAATTGTTTTTGTTTTCTCTCTCTGTGCAAAAATGAAATGGCCCGCTTCATTTTCAAAATTTTGAAATTTCTTACCGTTCAAATTATTAGGGAGCCTTTGATTTTAAAGGACACTTATTTTAGGTATTATCATTTTGGTCCTTGTGTTTGTCTTTAGTTTGGTTAAATCTGAGAACTAAAGTGATGCTATTTAAAATGGTTATCTTTGGGATGATTAAAACTATATGGACAACAATAATATCTAGATAACTAGATCCGTATTTTGCTTGCATTAGTGCAGAAACTAATGTATATTATGTATGATCCGCGTACCCCAATGATGACACGTGTAAGACGCAGGTTCCGTCGATCTCGATGGTGTGTGATGTCAACGGTGAGATGACTAGTGTGATTGGAGAAAATAGTGTGAGTGATTGTAGAGTATTGAAACTGAGGGAAGCTTTCTGTTTATGAGCCGGCAATCGCTGACTCCCGATGCAAATATCATAATGATCTTTAAGTACCTTGGGTTATGTGTTCATTTCAATATAAGGTCTAAAAAGATTTATAAATTTTATCGAAAATAATTTTATTGTCCTATCTTGTTAGTGAATACAAGATAGTGAATTTATGGTGAGCATAACACAATGTATTTATTTTAATATTTTGGATAATATTTTTGAAAAAGTAAGGCTTCGTTTGGTTGGATTTTGGGAATACTACTTTTAGTATTCCCAAAAAAATTAAACAGTAAAATATTCAAAAACTCACAATATTATTCAACTTTATTCATCATTTTTTAAACCCCCTAAATTTGTTAATTCAATTAAATACCCCTAAATATTTTTAATGTTTTTGTTACGGCGACTCCGACCACCCTCCGGCGGTGGTGGCCGGTTGTCGGTATTTGAGGGTGGATTGGGGGTGTTTTTGTTAACTTTTAATGTTTTATTATAAGGAGTGTTTTATAAAAAAACAAACATAGAGGGTATTTTAAATTTGTAAATCCTACATCGTAATCCCCGCCCAATTCAACTTTTTTTTTTATCGTTTTTCAAAAAACTTTTCCCAAAAACACAAAATTATGAACCAAACGGAACATAAGAGTTTAGTGATAATAACGAAATAGGATTTGAAAATTAATAAAAACACCCACTTAGGTTTGTTAATTTACTAAACACTCTTATAATAAAAACATTAAAAATTACAAAAGCACCATTACCATCCCATTAAATACCAACAGCCGGCCACTACCACCAGAGGGTGGTCGGAGTCGTTATATTGAAGCATGCTAACTGGATCTCATCAGTCGTGCGCCGAGATGGCCCTTTTCAACCAGATTCACTGCGAATCTGGCCAAAAAAAGGCCAGATCTACAACTAGATCTAGTCATTGACAACCAAATTTGGCCACATTTTGTCATCAACAACGGCCAAAGATATGGCTGTCGTTAACTACTAGCTACGACCAAAGATCCAAAGACGACCAGATCTTTGGTTGTAGATCTGATATTTTTCAACTAGATCCACGGTGGATCTGGCTAGAAAATGTTATATTGGCGCACTACGGGCTAGATCCAATCGGTAGTGCGCTATTATACCAGATTCCGACTACTTTCCAACGGTGGTGGTCGGAATCTGACAAATGTGAGTGGGTGAAGGTGTTTTTGTCAAATTTTAAACTTTTTTTAGGGTGTTTAGTTAAATTAACAAATTTTGGGGTTTAAAAATAATTAAATTAATATAATAATATTTTCAGAATATGGAACAAATGTGTATTTTGGAAATAATAGGAATATGATAGGGCAAAAACAGGGAAACAAACGCAGCCAGTTTTTTTTTCTAAATCTTTTATCACAAAGTCTATGAAAATGCATTTTTAACCATCAATTTCGATAATTACTTAATAATTACAAAAAAGGTAAATGACACAATGAAAAGAAACACATAATGCCCCTTACCAAATAACCAAAAACCCCTTGACAAATAACCAAAACTCCCTATAATATATGAAATACATAATAAATTTAATGGTTAAAATATAATTTTTCAAAACAAAAAATGATTGTTGATCAACGATCAATTTGGTCAAATTGACTGTTGTTAAGGAAGGAAGTGCAAAAAAACTTTGTCCTTTTGCACTTCCCCCAAAAGTGACGGGCCCAAGGCCGGTCCCAAATTGGGATAGGTCCTTGAGTACCTGAGCTAAACTTGGGCATTTGGGACTAGGCCTAAAAAACGGGTCCTAGGAGGCCTAGTCTCAAACCTGAACCAGGCACATGGAGGAGGCGCCGATCTAAGGACCAGTCCCTTCTCCAAGATCCTGGGCCTGGGCCCAAAACCGTTGCTTTTTTTTCAAAAGCCCCTAGACAATATCCAAAAACCCCTTATAAATTTTGAAATTGACAAAATATTGAGGGTTAAATTGATCTTTTACAAAATAAAAAAATTACATTTATGTTAAAATTAATTAATTAAATTATCTCTTTAAAGTTTAAATTTAAAACACCCCATATTTATAAATAATTATTAATATAACTAACCATTAATTTATTTATTGTTTTTTAAAATTAATTAAAAATTTACTAATTTCCCCCTAAAAATTTCTAAACCCCCCTACATAATTTAATTTGGCCCCTTAAATATAAAAAAAAGTTGGGGGGGGGGGGGGGGGGGGGGGGGGGTGGGAATTGTGGGCCTAGGATTGTCCCAATCAGGCCCAGACTCAGACCCGATTAGGATTGGTCCTTGCCCAGTCCGGCCTGGGCTAATCTCCCCCCCCTCCCCCGCCACCTAAAACAATCAAGAGTGAAAAATGTTGCAAAAAGTATCTAAAGTATAAAAATGCCAATTGTAGAACAAAAATGAAATAATTTAATCCATTTGATATTATTTTCACCATAACAAACTCATTTATCTTCTTATTGATATCAGTTCGTAGTATATGAATATAATTAAGATATGTATTAATAGAGGTGGGCAGGGTTTGGGCCTGCTTGGGACCGGTCCCAGGCCCATGAGAGAAATTAGGACCCGGACCAGGCCTTAGGCCTGGTAGGGACTGGTCATGTGGGCCCATGACCGATCCTAGGACCAGTCCCATGGGGCTTGGATAATTATTTTTCCCCCGTCAAATTTTTTTTTATATTTTGGGGGCAAAATGAAATTTTATGGGGGGTTTTTAGTATTTTGTAGGGGTAAATTTTATAAATTTTTTTAAACTTGGAAGATTTTTTTTTATAAATTTTGTAAAATGTCATTTTAGCCTTCTTAATTTATATTTATTTTCACATTAACAGGGGGTTTTATGTAATTTTGCAGGGGACTATATTTGAAAAAATACAAATTTTTTTGGGCCTAGGCCTTGAGTTTAGCTAGATTGAAGTTTTTATTTTTGTTTCTAAATTTTGTTAGTGCTGTGATTTCACTTTTCTTTCAATTGTGATCATTCAGTTTATGCGAAGAGAAAGACGTCAACCAGTAGTACCTGTTGACCTTGAGCTTGAGAGGACTGTAAGAAGACTAAATAGAGAGAGAAGAGAAAGAGATACACTTACTGCAGAAACGGAAGAAGTTGCAGTTGAAATGGCTGAACCAGAAAATAGGACACTGAGGGAATTTTCAGTTCCCACAGTGAACGGAAGTGGGTCAAGTATTACGAGACCTACTGTACAAGCTAACAACTTCGAGATCAAGCCGGCTATCATCCAGATGATCCAGCAGTCGGTAAGATTCAACGGCGATTTGAAGGAAGATCCGAATCAGCACATTGCAAATTTCCTGGAAATTTGCGACACCTTTAAGTCGAATGGAGTGTCGGATAGGTCTTACGTGTTATTCCCATTTCATTGGGAGATAAGCAAAGGGGTGGTTAATGGCATTACCACCGGGAACAATTACAACATGGAATGAGCTGGCACAAAAATTTTTGACCAAATTCTTTCTCCAGCGAAGTCAGCGAAGTTGAGAAATGATATACATCATTATACAAGACGATGCCGAGTCGTTGTACGAGGCTTGGGAAAGATACAAGGAATTGATGAGGAAGTGCCCACATAGGTTTGCCAGTTTGGCTGCAAGTCCAAACATTCTATAATGGGTTGATGGGTAATGTGCAAACCATGTGGATGCAGCTTCAGGAGGGCTTTGAGAATAAGACACCTGAAGAGGCGTATGAGTTGCTTGAGGTTTTGGCGAGCAACAACTAACAAAGAACGAATGAGAGAGTAACAACGAGGAAACTTCGGGTCTTCATGAAGTAGATGCTTCACAGCCATCTCAGCCCAACTCACTACACTTCAAAAACAGTTGGGAAATGAGGTAACTCTATACAAGACCTAACTAACATGTGATTTTTGTGCAGGAAACCATGTGAGCAGTGAATGCCAAGTCGGAAACACATTTGCACCGTCGTCTTCATCAACGGAGCAAGTAAATACTTGGCAGGAAATCAAAGACAGCCGAACATCCGTTCTCCAACACATACAACAGGGTGGAGACATCATCCGAATCTGGCTTGGGGAAACAAAAACACAGGGTATCAATGGAACCAGAGGCAAGTTCCAAATAACCAGCAGGGGGGACCAATCAACCGGAGATCCAAGAGTGTCGAAGTTGGAGGATTTGTTCGGTAAATTCATGCAAGAGTCTACCGGGTTCATGAATGAGACGAGGACAAACTTTAGAAACCAAGGGGCGTCCATTCGGAATTGAGGTACAATGGGCCAATTGGCGAGAAGCTGCAATGACTAGGTGGATGGCAGTAGGTTTCTTACAACATGAAATTACTGGAAAACGGATGGAAGATTTAGGACACAAATGGTTTCAAGATCTACAATCAAAATCATTCTTCCAACATTCAGTAAAGGATATGACTCGATTTGAAATGCACGACCTTATCAATGATCTTGCTCAATGGGCTGCAGGAGAAGTATCCTTTAGGATAGAGAGTACACCAGAGAATGACAAGCAGTGGAAATTTTCCAAATTTTT